TAGATCTCAAGCAGCTGGTGAGAGAAAAAGTAGATCTTGCTCTCAAAAAGTTTGGGCACCTCTGATGTACATGATGTTGGCCAAACCAATACCAGTTTAGAACATCTGTGTATTGCAGAGTAAACATGCAATACCTCATTCAAGCACACTGAAGCTACTACATGAATCTCATACTATATTATTTCACAGAATTGGTCATACTACAAAACACAGCTTTAACTTCAGTTTTTAACCAAATTTTACATATATAAGCAAGAAATATTAAAATATTTTATTACGGGACATGATATTTAAACATAAAATCATGTTTGTTTGTTGGTGTGAAAAATGTAAGAGCTTCTTAGAAAGAACAGAAGAATGCTGTTGTACTGCCTGATGTAGCCACTGGGGTCCAGTATGGGAACTAAATGTTTAACGCTACTATCAATGATACTCACAAATACATCAACTCTACTGTAGGAGCTGCAATGAGATGGAAGCTTCTTTTTCAGGCTATGAAAGATTTTATACTTTACCTTCCTTTATCTTCCTTTAACTATGAACTATTTCTTGTTAATGTGTTCATGAATTTGCAGATCAATTTTTGCATAACTCAGTTTTATTGTGAAAGTAACTGATGCAGTTGGAATCCTGACAATATACCTGACTTAAACTGCTCCAAGTTACATTATCTGACAGGGCGTTTCCAATAGATAAACAGAACAAATAGTTTTGTTATGAAATTCAAATCTTCTATCTATGCATGGTTTTTGTTACATTTTAGGAAATGTCTTAAACCATCTTTTTTATTATGTATGCTATAGATTGCAAATGTTACCCATGCAGATGAGTTGTTGACACTTTATCTGTGCCTCCTCATTTAGTGCTGTCTCTGTTTATTTATTGATCTTTTTGTTTGTTAAAAGCCTTGTTAAGTCACGTGACAGTTAGCGAAATTGTGTTTGAACCTGTTGGAGGAACAATTTCCTGTTATAATAATGTATTTATTGTCTGTCAGATAGAAAAAACTGTTCCTGTGTAAATGGTACATTTTGTGAAGTATTCCAGGAATAAAAATGTCAGTCCAACAGCTAGTCTGATTATTTCTTTAGAAAGCCAGTTGAAACATGAGTCATCATCTTAATATAAGGAGCACCATGACAGACGAGGTCATGGAGAAACATTAAACCTTAAAGATATTTTGCATATTTGAAAGTGAAATAGAATGCATGGTCTGTCTTTATAAGACCTTGGAGTTGTAACACACAATGACTGATAAATCAATCTGATTCAAGCTTAACTTGCTGTCCACTTACTTTGTCAAGATTATGAATTCCAGGTCCTGCCCTGGTTACAGCTGCACTGGTTACCATAACAACCATTTATTTGCCCAGTTTTTCCATTACCAGCAAGTCCAGTATTGTCAGTGAAACCATCAGTTTGACAGCCATATTTGATCCTCATTTTATTTATGGTGTTAACACTGAACACTATTACTGCATGAATTCAACTTAGTTAATATTTTAGAACCAATTCATGTCAAATATTATCTTAAAGAACTTGATCCATCTTTCTTGTTGTTTGTTTATAACAGTTGAAGTCTTGTGATATTCAAGTCAAGTTTATTTGTATAACACATTTTAGCAATAAGAATTTCAATGTGATTTACACAATAAAAACATAACACAATGAACAAACACAAAATATTACTATTATTATTTGCATTCAGATCCTCTGTTGTAAGAGCAGGGGGCCAGGGGTTTTTGAGGATGGAGGTGGGGTGGAGGCGCTCATGCTGCCTCCACAAGATGCCATTCTGGGCTGTTGTTGCCCAGATCAGAAACCGCCACTATTGATGAAAAGGTCTTGCCATAGGTTATTACTTAGTATTTCGTTTTTTAATTTATTCTTTGTGTTCTTAGTGCATTTGTATTTCGTTCTCCTAGATCAGTGTTGCTGTTTTCCAGCTGATTTGTTGTTTCCTTGAGTCTCTGTTCATCTCAGGTTGATTATGCATCTTTCCTCTGTCTGCCTGTTTGCTTTCTGTCCCAGCTAAACCCAGCTAGTAATAAACCACCTGCCTCGTCAGCATTCACAAGATTTTGAGTGACTCTATACGACATAGTGTCATTTCAGTCTGTGCAATGCAAAGGAAGGAGTAAATAGTTTTTAGTTTTTATTGGAACATAATGTATAAAAAACATAACAGAATTTATAAACTATTGAAGTAAAAAATATCAGCACATTCCACATAAACAAGATCATCTTTTTTCTTTATAATGTTGGTACACTAAAAAAAAACTACTTTCAAGGATTTTATCTGATTTATTATTGTTGCTTTACAGAAAACCTACCTAAATACTATACATAGGGTTGCCACCTGTTCCTTAGAATACGGAATCGTCCCGTATTTGGCTGTTACATGTTGCGTCCCATATTGAACCGATACGGGACGCGATTTGTTCCATATTTCTATAAATATCCGATTGACACGCCCATCACACACATATCAGCACTAAGTGTAACAATAATAACCACAATAAAACATAGGAAATATTAAGGTCAGTTAAATTCTCGTTGCGGGAGCTAAAGGACCCCTGGACGCTACGGACCGACGCTGTTGCCTAGAGACGGACACTACGCAGCTGCGGTGAGCTGCTATCTACCGCGTCTTTTTAAAACATCCTCGATCCGATTCTCCACCGTCCTTAGAAGCAAAGCATCTCGTAAAGATACTGACGTGAGAAGGAAGACGCAAATCCCAGGCTGAACATGTTAGTGAGGATGAATACAGGTAATTAATAATAATAATAATAATAATAATAATAAAATGTCCATTGTGGCGCAGTGTGCTGTATGATACCAGACAGAATAGATCAGGAGAGGAACACAGCAGACCCTGATATGGTAACATTTTGCTATGATTAAGTTTCTTATTGTGTTTTTAGTAGACTATATTGGTTTGATTATTTGCTTATTTAATATATAATATCAGCCAAAATAATACAAATGATCATTAAAAGAACAAATCATACATTAGATTAACAGTAAATACATAAATATTTCCTACTTTAAAAGGTTTGTTAGGGCTTTCTGTGGGTTTTATTTTGAAATGTAGATATATTTTATGAATTCATTGTTCAGTGGTCATTTAATGTATTACTAATGTCAGACACAGACCTGCAGCCCAGGGGCGGTTCTACATGGGGGCCAACGGGGTACCAAAGAAGTTATACTAATATGTTAATACTTGGTGGAATTTTTTTTAACCTTCACAATTGTACTTTAACAATGAATTAAAAATTATAGTGCTGCACTTTTAGCTGCTGTTTAGGATCATACTTTCCATCTGCCAGGGATCTGCAACCTGGATCTCTAGAGACACAAGTGGCTCTTTGGCTCACTTATTATATCAAATGATGAAATATTGCTCTGTTTTTTTTTCTTTCTTTTTGTTTGTTTGTTTCATTCTTTTTCAAGTGTTGCCATGGAAAAACACTGACTATCCTGACCCCTGTGGTAAATCTGGTCTAGAACCAGCCTCCAAACCTAACTCCTTGTTTATATAAATATTTTGGTAATACTCTGTAAAATATCAGAATGTTCACATAAATTTTATACTTTTAGTTGTTTGAGGACACATTTTGAATATTAAATCAGGTGTTATGATCAGTTACTCAGTGGTTTACCAAATACTTTTTACACTTGCTTAATTAAACATATTTAAAGTATACTACTCTGATTGGAGTACAGTTTTGGGGTACTCTAACTGACCTCTATGCATGAATGATTGCTCTATGGATCACTTTTTAAAGACAAAAAACACTGCCATAAAATGTGTGTCACTGCAGCGGACGTCCCACCACATGAGAGCAGAGTGATGCGCCGTGGAGCGTCCCTTATTTTGATTTCTGAAAGGTGGCAACCCTAACTATACAGCACTGCTTAAGTACTTAACATTTCTTTGACTGTAATACTGGCAACTTTCTGTTAATGGAAATGCAATGTTCTGACTCTCTGAATTGAATGTTCAGTCATTTGTTTTTATTATTGATAAACAATAAAGCAGGAGGATCAATCTGGAGTTTGTGACTGAAAACCTTATTTTCTTCATCATGGACCTCTATTCATCCTCCTATCAGAAGCATGAAATGTGTAAAGATAAATGTAAAAAAAAAAGGACAGACAGAAAATACTGTGCGCCTTAGATAGGAGCTGATGACTGGGCTGTTTGGATGTTTTTGTGCCTTTTGTGATTTCTTCTGCAGCAGAGGATAGTTGCTGTGATGAAGACAATGATGACTGTGATTAGGATGAAGATGATGCCAACCCAAGCTCCAAGGCTTAAATCTACAGGAACAGAAAGAGTCTCAGTTAGAAAAATACTTCATGTAGGAAACCTGTTTTTGGGGAAATTCCAGGTTTTCTGATCCACAGAGCGGCTGGATTCCAGGCTGTGTGAAGAAACCTGCTCACTTTGAGAGCACTTGTGTTTCTCTGGTCCCTGCCTGACACGAGTTGTTCATTTATAACATTGTATTGATACTGAAGCAGTCATGTTATAGGAGAATTTTCTCACCTAAATCAAATTTTCTACAACTCACTGGTACATATTTTACAACATGGCCTAATACACTGGAGCCCAGCTTCAGATATAGTTGTTACAGAAGGACATTTTTGGTGCAGATTAATGACTGTTCTACCTGCAGACACCCAAGATGGAAGGGCTCAGGAATATGATCTGTATAAATTATAAATTATTAATTAAACATTTTAAGACATTAAAGTAAGGTACTAAGTTGCATGTTTCCCATTCATTTGTTTTCTTTCTTTAGATGCAGCAGTTAGTATTTAAACACATTAGACACCCAGGCTGACTTCACTCCATCTTCAACAAGATGGTAAAACCTCCCTGGGGGCTTAATGTGGGTGAATTTTCACAGCTCAAATATCTTACTTATCTTAACAGAGGTTACAAAAATCTATAATAAATGTTTACAAACATATTTTACCCACATATACCAACACATAAACAACTGATATTTGAGAGAAAGTAACTAATTACAATAGTTCTACTGCTTCACTATTCTATGGATAAAACACTTAATGCTTCTGAGCTTCTGTTTTATGTCTACATGTGTAAGCACCTTGTGTGAAGTGTGTGTCTCCTTGTCTACACTGCAGTGTGCTCCAGGCTCCTTGTTGGGTGGCTTTAGGTCGGGAGGGAATGAAAGCTGCCACCATGAAGCAGTAGCTCTGTCCAGCATCCAGTCCTGAAACTTCTGCTGAGCTGGAGTCAACAATCTTTTTTTTCTGTAAGGTAGAAATCAGACTTTTGACTCTCACCGCTGAAAGCACAAAGATCCTTCCAGGCGCTCCATTAAAAATCCACTTCAAACTAAACCTGGTGTACTATTTGTGGAGCAAAAGCTAGATATTTTAAAACATCTTAAATCCTCGGCGCTGACATCAGGAGAACTGCTAAACAAAAAACATTTGTTTTGACATTTTATTTCTCATAACTTGTGAAAGTCAAACAATCTTTTCTTAAACATTTAAAATACACCTAGATCAATGCATTTGTTGGTTTTTGTGTGTTTGTCTGCTCTGTCTTCTCAAACCCACAGCTCATGACAAAAACAACGGAATGCAGAACTAGAACCACGTTTGGTTCTAGTTCTGGGGATGCAGAGCAGATAAAGGTTCCTAACCTTTATCTAACCAGTGAGGTTAGTTAACTGGTGCTTAACATAACCCGTTAAGTACTGTATCAGAGAGTCCAACCCAGCTCTCTAGATGTTTCAATAATTATGGTCAACTGTGTTGAACACCA